ACGTGTCGTTTAATTTTCATTTTAAGGACACCATCGTGTTCTTCATCCTTTTTTACATAAGAAACACTTAACGACAAAAAGTAATTTGCGTAGTTCCTGAGATATTGCATTTTGAATGAATGAATGAAAGTCATAAATTATGAGGGTAAAACTTTATTTTTTTTATTTTTTTTTCGATTTCCTCTTAATAAGTGGATTCATTCTCATGACTTATTGTGTGAAATAATATTTAAAGAAAAAAAATCGATTACATTACCAAGAACAGTGTTGCCAAATTAAAATATTATTTAGCGACTAAAAATTTTAAACGTGATTTTTTTAAGTTGATGCATCTAAATATTTGGTTTGATTGCACCATCGTGTCCCACAGCATTTTTACATAAGATAGACTATCTAAAACAAAGTTCAACGCAATGTAACATTTTCTGAAAACAAATTAAAGAAAAGTGTTTTTTTTATTTTTCTGATGCATTTTCTAAAGCAATGAAATTAATATCCAAACCTATTATTTTAAAAGTTTTCAGAGCGTAAGTGCACAACGGACCTAAATCTATATTTTTTGGTACAAGAACTCCAAAATAACTATTCATTAAAATATGACATTTTTGATTTTTTTTTTTATATATTAGGCGTCTATGTTTTAAGCATATCTGGCGCATCTGTCTAGTTCATTAGAAGTTTGCAGATACCGAGTGGAAAATGGTGTGTTCTATTCAGAGGGTAAGCCACTTTGCCACCTTGTGTTAAACACATCAAAAACACTTTTCGACACTCTTCGACACACTCAAACACCCTTCAACCACCATGAGAACCAATTTTTCAGTCTTTTCTGGCAGCACTGCCATTCATTTGATGCCCTTTTTTGTTTTAGTTGATTTTTTTTTCTGAAGGAGGGACCTTCAGAAATCGGTAGGGTTCCACAAAAAAAAACTGATCGGGACACCGAAGTAGCCCTCACCCCTGCAATTAGGAAAAAAGATTCAACATCAAGCTCAACATTGAAAAACAGACAATTTCAACCTCTAACAAGCTAGAATATCTGTAACTGTATATGAATGAAGCGGATAATAATTATCATATCAATTATTGATCGATAGCTGAAGACAGATATTTCTTTCTAATGTGGTTGATGCGCTTTCATCGTGGATTTCATATTCACAATACCAAATAAGAGAGATCCATCCTACTATCTGCCGCTTACAAATAGGTTCGTTTTTTTTGCGAAATTTAGATCCAGAGATTGTTTAGAAAGGGGCGTGCTCGGTTTGGTTATCTGGGCTTGATTGCGATTGGAATTCGGTTGGGATGGATTCGAGAGGACTTTACTGGTTTGAGCCAGGATGTCAAGCATCATGACATAAGAATACGACGGCTGAGGGAGTACTTTTTGAGATCGGAGTGGAACTCCAGATATACATACACAGCACATTCTTTTAGATAGGTGTTGCAGATGACGATCAGGGATGCGAATTTGAATTCCTGTAAGTTGTTTACATAGACGTGTGCATTATTTCTGGAATTCCGTGCTTTCACTGTGCATGATTAAATTGGTAAATTTTTGGAGAGCAAAAAAAAAGAATTCTGATTATAAACAAAAGTGGATGTAATGCTAGCCAGTAAGCATTAATTTTCAATAAAGTTTTGACAGCTAGGTCGACATGCAGAAACACCCATAAACACTTTCCGACACCCTAAAACACACAAGAAACACAATTACCCCCCGTAACGTAGGTAGATCACCTTTTCGTGGTACGTTACGGGATGTAAGATCTACCACCGATTCCTAGTCCTGACTACTTCAAACTAGAAGAACAGGATTTTACAGTAATCAAAGGAACACATCTTAGTCCTGTTACTTTTTATGCCTTGTTTGATAGTGACAAGACTCGGCTTTGTCTACCGAGGATGATCTTGAAATAAGGAAAAAAATGAGTTAGTTAGTCTTCATCTATGTGATTCCTAATCTTCTATTCGTTGTTCCCTAGTTTGAAGTGCTTAAGACTAGGGTTCTGATGCATGGTCATTATCGGTGTCATTCCTTAATTTTGTTGCTAAGGAATCCAATTTTGACTGACAAAGGGGCGTGCCTTTGGAGGGTGTTTCAACACTCCGAAGGGTATAAATAGCGGGACCTTTCAATTAGAGTCGGATCCTTGAGAAAAATGCAAGAATGACAACTGTAAAAAAAAAATCGAATACTTCATCATTTCTCAATAGTGATGAAGTAATGCAACATGCACTAAACTAAGGACACGGGAAATACTATAATAGATCAAATTACTGGTCGCAGTGGTGTTAGGTCCCGAACAGAGAAAATTTTTTTTTTTTACATTTTGCGCTCACTAGCGTATTTTTTTTTATAAAATTCATTCAGAAAATCATGTATTTTTTCAAATGTCATGTTGCATATAGTTAGTTAGTTATCTTTATTAAGGAGACTTTCAGGCTGAACGCTGGTTCGTCTCCGAAATGTTGCATATATTTTTCAGTACTCTAAAATAATAGCATTGATCTGCAAAAGATTGAAAAAACAAATAGGTTGAGTTTTGATTCACAATGGAAACGGTTGCAAATATCGGAGTTTCCGTAAATGAGATGATCGATTGAGGGAGACCGAGGTAAATTGACACGCTGACGTGATGGTTTCTGTGGACGTGGAAAGATCTTTGATACTCGGTTTTGATGTAGGACTACGTCTGTGATTTCTATATGGGGATACACTTTGTCAAAACCGAAAATGGCACATGTAACAAAATTATGAAAGATTTTGAACGTTACTAACTCAGCTGCCCCTGGATCAATTTCAATAATTTTATCACCAATCGATCAGATATATTGCTATGCATCTGTTAATTTTAAGACTTAATCATTTTTAAAAATGTCACTATTGAAAACTGCACGAATGTGCAACTGTTGCATTGATAATTAAAATTATCACCGATTGCCTGCGAAAAGCGATTTCCCTAACACAGATTTCAAAGTTGAATTCCATCATGTCTCACCAAACGGTTTTTGGTCAATCACCGCGTGGTGAGGGGTGGTGTTCTCGAGTATACAACGAAAGGCTGCCTGCAAACAGCAAGCTGCAGCCCACATGAGCATCCATAGAAGGAGGAAAAAGTCGCACCGCTATTGATCGGAATCAGTAGCTCTTCGTGAGTCGCTATGGGTCATCTATGTCAAGCGCGTCATACTAAAGAGTATAAACAGAGAGAACCTCGCTCAAATTCCTATTCCTACACAAAACACAAGCTGCTGCTGCAATTAACAAATAAGAATTATTATATAAGACCACGTAGTCCTACGTCACCATTGCGTACAACCCCATAGGGGTGTCCCTTGTAGTTTTTCATACAAAAGGGACATCTGTATCGTAGAATCATAATGATAATTACGCTATGGCCTGGTTGTCCTTTGCTGTGTACACATAAGTCCTCTTCGATGTCTCCAATACACTCCATCTCAGCCCTGCTTCTGTAGAAACTGTAGCTCAAATTGTGGGAGAACGATGAGGACCTGATTTGAAATCGATTGAGTGGGGTGGAGTCAACTCGATATATTGAACCAGCCTATTGACCATACTCTTGGTTTCTAGGATGACTGTTTCGAAAGTTTCATCGTCGGGTACTCTCGGTTCGGAAGCCATGTCAATGTGCACTACGTTGTGCAGACTTATTGAGTACTTAAAACTAAAACATGTTTAAGCTATTCTATTACTAAACACATTTTTGGACGTAGTAAAACAAATTCGTTACAAACATTATTGAACGCAAACAGAAATTAAAACGGTTATTGAATCCAATTAGTTCTGTGGAATGGAATTGACAGCAACGGGGAGTTACGAAATCTACGAGGAGAAATGTTCCATGGAATCCGTTCCAGGAGTTTGGGACAATCCACATTGCCGGTTATTAGGTTGACTATGGACAGTCGTTCCAATTTGATACGCCTTGCTGAGAGAGATTCCAATCAATCAGCATGCATCAGTCTGGATAGCTAGGAAGCATGACTGGATCATTCCATGGTAGCTGACGTAAAGCAAACCTCTTATAACTTTTCTGAATCCGTTTGTTCAGATCGAATAAAACAAACCGTTCTTGAATCAACCTTTTCTTGCAGTTAGATCAAACTGCAATTTTATGAGAAATTCATTTGGAGTTAGTACAGTATTTTCATGAGTTTTAGTGTTAGTATTACTCACAATTTTAGTTTGTTTTCCTCCTCTAAACTTTCCTTGTCTTTCCAATCTCGCTTATGATACTATGCCTGTCTGCCAATCTATCTTGTCGATCCGTCTATCATCGACTAACCTCCTCTTTGTGTCGTAAAAAAATGTAATTTAATTCTTTGTTCTGAATGTATTTCAATTTTTGTATGTTGAACTAACCTGGTGTATTAAACTGCGGTCGTTTAATTATTTTACCTTCTCAGAAAAACGCACCGAAATTTCACTCCTTTTCTAACAAACACGCTATAAATCTCAATCTACTTTTCAACTAAACTTCAACCTTTCTTTTCTATTTGTTTACTTCTCCTCTGCACGACTTCTGTCCGATCAACTTCTAACTATTTTTTTCTATCTCTTTCTCACCTGTCATTTCTACTTCACCTGTCACCTTGTCACGCCTCATCGGCCAAACTGCTTCTAGCCTCATCGGCCGATCGCGAGGCGGAACGGTCCGTGTTGCCAGAACATTCCCCGGCCCGTAACTCTGTCCGAGGGGTCACGTCCGGCTCAGAGTTACCCTCAACCAACTCCATCACGGCCAGTTTCGCTGTCGCTCGCTTGTATCGTCCGGTGCTGGTACGCACACACGCTTGACGGATCCTACCGTCACCGGATACGATGGGCTCTTCCACCACTCCGCGGATCCAACACTTTCTATTTGCTCCCTCTACGACGTACACCAGGTCTCCTGCTCGCAATGGTAGTGTCTCACCGAACCACTTCGTCCTCTGGTTCAACGACGGCACGTACTCCTTAATCCACCGCTCCCACATCACGCTGGCCAATTGCTGCGAACGCTGGAACGCATCTCGAAGGGCCACGGCAGGATGGGGAGGTGGAAGAGTGCCACTTGGTTGGTTTGGTGACGCTCACTCAAGAAGTGATTTGGGGTGAGCGCTTCTACTTCGTTGGACTGCTGCCTCACGTAGGTGAGCGGACGGGAATTGATGATGTCCTCCGCTTCAACGATTGCTGTCTGCAAGATCTCGTCCGTTAGTCGCCTTCCATCGTCGAGTGCTGTCAGCGCTTCCTTCACAGAGCGGACCAGGCGCTCCCAAACACCTCCCATGTGGGGTGCAGCGGGAGGATTAAACGTCCACTTTGTTCTCGCGTTTGTTAACTGGTCTGCACAGTCGTCTGTAATGCCGTGCACAGCCTCCACCACTTGCTTACTGGCTCCTCGCAAGTTCGTCCCGTTGTCCGAAAAGAATTCAATCGGCCAGCCCCGGCGACCCATAAACCGGTATATCGCCGTCAAACACGACTGAGTGGTCAGTCCGTGTGCCACCTCCAAATGCACGGCACGTGTTACCATGCACGTAAACAGCGCAATCCACCTCTTCTCCGTTCTGCGTCCTATGGTCACATCAAATGGTCCCAGGTAATCGACACCGACGTAGCTAAAGGCTCGAAGATTCGGTGTGACTCGCTGTACTGGCAGCGGGGCCATCCTTGGAACTTCAGGACGACACCGATTCACCTTACACCACACGCAGGACGCTGACACCTTCCGGACAACTGCATCTATGTGTGGAATATAGTACAGCTGCCTCAGTTCGTTCTTCACCACCTGGCGGTACCCGTGGCCACTCTTCTCGTGGTAGTGCTGGACTATCAATCTCGTAATCCGATGGTCATTCGGCAGAATCACTGGAAATCGCAGATCGAACGGTAAAAATTCTGCTCGTTCCACTCGACCCTCCATTCGAATCAGTCCATCTTTATCGACCATGGGAGTCAGCTTATACAGAGGACTTGACTTCTCGATTGGCAGCCACTGATTCACCGAACGCTCCTTGTTTCTCGACAGCACCTTCAATTCATCGATGAAACTCTCCGACTGCGCCGATATTAGGAGGCACCGCTCTGCTTGTTCGTATTCGTTCTGCTGTAACGGTATGCGAATATTCGCGACCGTGGTTGACTTTTGCACCTTCATCTGCTCGCTCGTCGCCCGGAATGTCTCGATCGGCAGCCCTTTGAACTTTTGCCTGCAGTTCGACACGAAACGAAATACACACGCCATCGTCTGAACCAACACCGTCCACTTCGAGAAGCCGTCTGCATCTACCAAATTCGCTGGCACCTTCACATCGTGCAGTAGGAGATGAACCCGGAGTTCCTCCGTCGTGTTCGCCGGCGGTAGAATCTTCTTCGGCCACCCTTCCTCACGGCTGTACAGAAACTGCGGTCCTTTTATCCACGAGCTGTTCGGATGTATTTCCGGATCCTTGCCCCACTTCGTTAGCTGGTCTGCCACGTTCAATCTCGTCGGTACCCACCGCCAGTCTGCAATCCTCGTCGAACTCAGGATCTCTCCGATACGGAAACCGACAAACTGCTTGTAGCGGCGCTGATCGGATCGAATCCACGATAGCACCACCTCCGCATCTACCCAGAAGACCACTCGACTAATGGAGAAGGTATGGTTTTCGCGCACTGTCTGTGATAGTCGTACACCGAGTACCGCTGCCATAAGCTCCAAACGCGGAATCGAAAGCTGTTTCAATGGTGTTACCTTCGCTCGACTCATCACCATTGCGCACGACTCATCACCATTGCGCACATCACCATTGCATCTCCTCGTACAACGGCTCGGAAAAACGCCACGAATCCGTAGGCCGTCTCGCTCGCATCCGCAAAGATATGCAGCTGCACGTCATCGATCTCATCTGATCGCGCACTGCCGAAGTAGCTGCGTGGTAGTTTGAAGGCTTGAGTGTCCATCAGGATGTTCGTCCACCGTTTCCACTTCTTGAACGATGCGTCGTCCACGATGTCATCCCACTGGCAACCAATCCGCCACAGGTCTTGTACTAACATTTTTCCCAGAATGGTGACTGGTGCGAGGAAACCCACCGGATCAAACTGCGCCATCACGATACTGAGTACTATTCGCTTCGTCGGACGTTCTTCTCCTCGGAGGACTTTCAGCTGCTCTAATTTTGAAGCTTTTGCGAAACAGAAGACGTCTTCGATCATATTCCACACGATCCCCAGTACACGCTCGTATTCCGTGTCTTTATCCCGGGTCAAGTGAATTGCTGCGTTAGCGGTGCGCTCCCCAACCTCCTCTAGAAACTTCTCCGAGTTCGACATCCAGTTACGTATGTGGAATCCTCCTTTCGAGTGAATGTGTTTCACCTCCTTGGCTCTTTGGATCGCTTCCTCGACGGTGTCCACACTGTCGTAGTAATCGTCCACATAGTGCTTCTTTATAATCGCTGCTGCTGCCTCAGGGAATTCTTCCGCAAATTGTTCCGCGTTCAGATTCTTTACAAATTGCGCTGAAGCAGGCGAGCATGCAGCGCCAAAAGTGGCCACGTCCATCACATACACTTGCGGTGCCCCTGTTGGGTCTGTTCCGAACAAAAATCGGAGCGCTTGCTTGTCCTCAGCTCGGATTTTCATTTGGTGATACATTTCTTGGATGTCTCCTCCAAATGCAACCGGACCCTCCTGAAAGCAGCTGACAACTTTCGGAAGAGGAACTAACATATCCGGCCCCTTTAACAACTGCGAGTTCAACGAGACTCCTCCAACCGATGCTGCAGCGTCCCACACCAGGCGAACCTTTTCGGGTTTCTTTGGGTTTCGCACCACATTTACTGGCAGATACCAAACCGCCCAGCTTGGTGTTTCAAGTTCTGCTACGCTGATCTTATGTGCGTATCTCTTGAGCTGATAGTCCTTAATTTGTTGGCACACATTTCGTTTCAACGCTGGATCCTTCTCTAGATTTCGTTCAAGTGCTTTCATTCTTCGCATGGCCATCGGATAGCTGTCAGGAAACCACCGCACGTCTTCTCGCCACAGCAGACCCGTCTCGAAACGATCGCCAATTCGTTTCGTTGTTGTTTCGAGAATCTCTCGAGCCCGCTTCTCCTCCGCCGGTTCTGGTACGGCAAACGATGTAATCGCCTTCTCATCCAACACGTACTGCTCCCGCATCAAATCATGGAGCTCTTGATTGCTTACCGGTGTGACAGAATGGAGGTTCAGGTAAGTCTTCACGCTAGGCTTCAGCTTCTCGGAACCATAGATTGTCCATCCCATTTTCGACCGCACGGCGATGGGTTCGTTCGGTTTCCCAACCCGTGACTCCAACGGCGCGAAAAGATGGAGGTTGTCCAAACCGACCAGAATCGTCGGCAGTCCGGACGGAAAATCCTTCACCGGCACTCCAGTAAGATGCGAATACCGGTTCACCACGTCATGATACCGTACTTCCTGTTGCGGTAGCTGCAACTCGGACACCGTTCGTGTGTTGAATAGCGGAAATTTTTCCTTAGATCTCTTCGCCGACATCATCATTTCAACACTACGGGAATCGTTCTCATACCGGTTGATGTTTCCGGTCCACGTGACTATCAGCGGCTCGAGAGTCCCTTCTGCCTCCAGCCGTTTGGCCACCCCATCATCCACCAACGTAGCAGACGATCCTTCGTCCAGGAAGGCGACGGTGTCGTACTGCCGCTTACCAACATGAAGTGTCACCGGCATCATCCGGAAAATCACCGTGCAATCTGATTTTGCTCTCTGCAATTGCACCGATTCTTCAACCCGATGCAAAAGAGAATGGTGGTTGCCTTGGCAATTCCGCACCATACATCGGATCTTTGAGAAGCATCGATTTCCACCGTGTTTGTTGAGGCAGACTCCGCAGAGTTTCTGCTTCTCCACTTCTTTTAGCCGTTCTGCAATATTCATCCGCTTGAACTCACCGCAGCTCTTGATCATGTGATCCGTCCGCCTACAAATCCAACAAGGACGGCTGACCACCTCTCTGCGTAGTTCTTCGCTCTGCTTCTGCTCAGAGTCGTGCACATGCACAAACTCCTTCTTTCTAGGATTCTCTCGCCCATGCGACGCTCGCTCGTTCACCGACAGCGTAGAAAACTCCGTCACCTCGGACACGTCGGATACTATTTCAGTCATGAAATCCGTGAACATCCTCAGCGGACTATCTTCCTTTCCTCGCTTGTACCGCACCCAATCCAGTTTGTAACTCGGTGGTAAGTTGTCGACCAACTCCTGTACTAGCATCGGGTTATTAAGATGATCGTTGAGTCGCGCAGCCTCAAGATGGTCGCACAACTGCTTCACCGTAATCCCAAAATTAACGAACATCTCCAGTCGATCAGCTCTCGGCGCTGGAGCGTTCCTCACTTTCGTCAGCAGCGACTTCAGCAGCTTCTCCGGCCTTCCGAATAGATTCCGTAGGTCACAAATCACGTTCGGAACGGAATTCGGCAGAACGAGCCGACTCCTCACTGCTTCGAGCGCGTCGCCTTGCAAACAGTCCTGCAGTCGCTTCAAGTTCTCCAGGTTTGAGAACCCACATGCCTCCGTCGTATATTCGAAGCTGCTAATAAACATGAAAATTTGCGAACAATATCGTCATGATTTTGAGATTCAGTAATCGATTATTAAATATTTTAAATTGGAATGCTTGATCTCTTTAAAGATAATGAAGACGAGATATTTAACTTTTTGAGAGTTCATAACGTGCATATTGCCGTTATAACAGAAACGTTCCTTAAACCTGGCCATAAGGTTAAAAGGGACGCAATTATTTCATTTATAGAAATGATCGTCTTGATGGAGCCTGTGGTGGTGTTACCATCATTGTTCATAGACGTATCAAACAAAAAATTCTTTCTTCATTTGAAACCAAAGTTCTTGAAACTTTGGTAGTTTCTGTTGAATTTGAAAAACTTACGTTTATAGCTGCCTATTTGCCATTCCAATGCGTAGGTCAGCAAAAATTTTTTCTCAAGGGTGACCTTCAGAAACTTACCCGTCATAGGTCTTAATTCTTCATTATTGGTGATTTTAATGTAAAACACCGTTCAAGGAATAATGCTCAACGCAATTCCAATGGTAATATTCTGTTTGATGATTGTTTTGCTGGTTATTACACTATTCAATATTCAAACAGTCCAACATGCTTTTCTTCTGCAAGAAATCTCTTAACTTTTTTTTTTTTAAAGCTTTATTAAAGAGATTTTTAGCCTTAAGCTAAAATCTCTCAACTATTGATTTGGTCTTAACTGATTCATGTCAACTTTGTAGCCAATTGGTTACCCATGCTGACTTCGGTTCTGATCATCGTCCAGTAACTTTTGAAATATCCCAAGAAATAATTTCTAGGCCCAACAGCTCTACTTTCAATTACCATAGAGCTGATTGGCAGCAATATCGATCCTTTATGGTTTATGGAATATAGCTTAGATCCAAACATTCCTTTGCAAACCAAAGATGAAATTAATTATGCTCTTGAATCTCTGAATACTTCTATCGTTGAAGCAAGAGCTGCCTCAGTACCAAAATGCGAGGTTAAATTCGATTCAATTATAATAGACGACAATCTTCAGCTCTTGATCCGTCTGAAAAATGTCCGTAGGAGGCAATATCAAAGAATACGCGATCCTGTCATGAAAGCGGGATTTTCCAAAACAAATAAAAAAGCGATGCTCTACCCTGAGGAACAAAACTTTTGAAAATAATGTTTCTAAATTAGACCCGAGTTCCAAACCCCTTTGGAAACTCACAAAATTTTTGATAAAACCTCAAAAGCCTATTTCAGCGCTTAAAGAAGGTGATAAAATTTTGATCACAAATTTGGAAAAAGCTCAGAAGCTTGCTAAGCAATTCGAGAGTTCCCATAATTTCAGTTTGGGTCTTACTAAATCCTATTGAGAATCAGGTTGCTCCGAAATATCTGAATATTTTCTCTCGAGAAAGTATTTTTGATGATTTCTGGGGGACTGATTTGGACGATTAGTTATAGATTTTACTAAAAAGTTTCATAATATGAATGCTCCAGGTCATGATGGAATTTTCTATATCTTTAACAAAAACCTCCCAGAGAGTATCTTGTATTTCTCGGTAAAATTATTTTTTCAGATGTTTCCATTTGGCATACTTTCCTGATAAATGGAAAAATGCAAAAGTTGTTCCAATTTTGAAGCCGGATAAAAATCCAGCTGAAGCTTCTAGCTACCGTCCAATAAGTTTGCTTTCTACAATAAGTAAACTTTTTGAAAAGATAATTTTGAATAGAATGATGCTTCACTTCAATACGAACATAATTTTCGCCGATGAGCATTTTGGATTTGGCCATGGTCATGAAGATTTGATTGCTAAATTGAAAAAGTTTAACTTTCCACTTTATATTATGAAATTAGTTCAAAATTATTTAACTGACAGAACTCTGCAGGTAAATTATCAAAATTCCAAATCTAATCGACTACCTGTTAGAGCAGGAGTTCCTCAGGGTAGCATTCTTGGGCCTATATTGTATAACATTTTCACTTCGGACCTCCCTGATTTGTCTCAGGGTTGCCACAAATCTTTGTTCGTTGATGACACAGGCATTTCCGCTAAAGGAAGAAGTCTTCGTGTTATTTGCAGCAGACTGCAGAGAAGTTTATATATTTTCTCTTCTTATTTACAAAAATGGAAGATTTTTCCCAACACTTACAAAACTCAACTTATAATATTTCCACATAAGCCTAGAGCTTCCTTTTTGAAACCTAGTAGTAGTCACTGTGAATGGAGTTCCAATGTCCTGGTCAAACCAAGTGAAATATCTTGGATTGGTATTTGACCAAAAATCAACTTTTAAAGATCACATAGAGGGCACTCAAGCCAAATGTAACAAATATATAAAATGTTTATATCCTCTTATAAACAGGAAATCCAAACTTTAACTGAAGATTAAACTTCTGATAATTAAACAAGTTTTAGACCGGCCATGCTTTACGCTGTGCCATTATGGTCTAGTGGTTGCACTACCAGGAAAAAAGCACTTCAAAGGATTCAGAACAAAGTTCTGATGATGATTTCAAAGTTGACTCTCTGGTACAGTACTACCGAAGTACATAGAATTTAAAATGTTGAGATTTTAGAACAAATGTCCAACAAAATAATTAATAATTTCAGGCAAAAATTGCAACGATTAATTCCCTTTATACTTATATAAGATTTAGTTTTAGTTTTAGTTTTAAGATGTCAATTGTTATACTGACATGCAGAAAACCTGTTTAAAATACTGAATTGCCGAGGCAGGAACAATGTAAAAACACTTAGATATATATCATAACAATTAAGGCTGGTAAGTTACTGTAGTAACTGGAGCACCTAGGCTAAAATGCAATGTAATTTATTTTCAATTTGGAACAAATAAAGAGCAAAAAAAAGGGATAAGTGGGAAACAGACGGAAATTCGAAACCATCGGAAATAGCCCGTGAAATTCTACGAAAAATCTGATCCTGGACTGTACTAAATTTTTTCGATAAATCACTTTGAATAACTTCTAAGAGAATTTTGATGAAAATTCCATAAGAAATTTGAGACGAATTCAGAATGGCACTTCAGAGCAAATTTCCAACGGAGATTTAGGAAGAAGTAGAAGACAATTGTGTGAGTTCAGAGTAGAAATTTAAGAAGTTCCATGAAAAATTCCATTACGATTGTGAAGAGGATTTCGGGATCCGCGAACTTTTATTAATCTGAACACCCCGGTTAGAAATTTGAAAATTATCGATGAAGACACGTGGAGACATTTCGGTATCCCTGCTTGTAGAATGTTTTAAAACCTTGATAAAACTTACACTGTAGCTTGGGTTGTGCGTAAACCGGTTTAAGAAAAAAAAAAAAGGCTTGGATTGGTGAGGAGAGCTTTATTAGAACATTCGATGTGATTGATGGATAAGATTTGAATGAAAAAAAATGGTTTCAACCTTTGACTCCCAGGATTGCTGCTATCCAATTGCTTGACTCACAGCGACATTAAACACTGTCTTAATTTTTCTGCAGCAGTTTCAGTGCATAATTGTTTTGCAATGCTAACAGTCATGTGTCAGTACCAGTAAAGTTCATGTCCAACCTACAACTTTTAAAAGGACTGTCCACGTATGTATAACCAACCATTGATCCATCTCAACAGGAAAGGTCAATTCGACTTCCAACGAATCTACAGCTGGCTACATAGGAAGCAGCGGAGCAAACACATAAAATAATCTATATTACTATTACAGACTGCCGCACGTAATACCCAGTTCAACAACAACAACAGTAGTTAATAGGCTTCAGTTCTGACCTGACCCCTGGGACACATTCCCCGAATTATTTCTGCCTCGTTCGTGGAAGCTGCGACTGCAATGATAAAATTCACAATTTGCATTGATTCAGCTTCCGGTGGGATCGATTAACTTTCCGGTTTGTAAATTGCATATGGAAATTCTGCTGCATGGAGTATGAAAGTGAAGAACCATTAATTACCGGATACGTTGGAGTAAAGATAATGCCTGTCCATACAATTGTGCAATCGAGTGAATCTTTTGAATGCAGAGTACGTCGTGTTAGGTGGAGTTCGAGTTCACCATATCAACTAATGGATTGTAAAAGATGTCGGCTTCATTGTTCGAGATGCAGGCTTCATTGTAGAGCGAATGGAAACGTTTTAATAATAAAGTTGAAAATGATTCTCATCCTCGATTTATTCAAAAGTATCTGAATACACATTATAAAGCACACTTGCCGACAAAGAAATGCCATCATCCATTTGAATTACCTTTATTAAATTTTCGATCCAATAATCGAACGTCCATTGATACGGCAAATTTCATTTCGATGGCCGCCTGGCACTGGCACTGATACACCATAGAGATGTGAGACTTCCATTCCAGAAAATTATGTCCCCATCAATTCCGGACAGAAAGGGGAGGCTGGACTTGAAGCGGCCAGACCACATGACCCTTCGGGCCATCATCATAGCTGAGCTGAACCGTACACCAAAGCCAACAGGCCATTTCCCGATATTATTTGCAGTCGCCATCGCACCACAGGCTGGCCGCCAGCTTTCAAATTTAAAACCGATCCAGAAACCGTTCGAAGGACCACGCCCCAACATGGATTTAACCTATGATCTTTGTTGTGTCTCATCGTCACTGCCTTATTGTGCCAGAACGAACGAACGAACGAACGAACGGAAGAGATATAGGCTGGTGGAGCGCACATTGCCACCGTGAATGCCAAAAGCGATTCCGCTGCTCCACTACTGGATCTAGGTCGCCAGCTACAGCAGCCAACAGCCAAGGGCCTGGGAGATTCAATTTCAGCACCATATAATATGTCTGTTCTGCAAATAATCCTGCCACAAGGAGAGATAGCGAGAGCGAAGTTCACCCCGGCAGCCAGCTTGTGTTCCTTTAGTTATAAAAGCTTGAAAATTGGACACTGCCCAAAATAGACTTCCCCGAGAGCGAACGACAATGGAGAACACCCTGACTGATGCCGTTGGCAGGCAGCAATGTCTCCGGGACCCAAAGTTCCACATTTCCCGAACAATGGGAAGCAATTTTTCTCGCTC